GCCTGCTGCTGCCGCTGCTGCTCCTTCCCGCCGCCGGGCCTGCCCAGTTCCACGGGGAGAAGGGCATCTCCATCCCGGACCACGGCTTCTGCCAGCCCATCTCCATCCCGCTGTGCACGGACATCGCCTACAACCAGACCATCATGCCCAACCTTCTGGGCCATACGAACCAGGAGGACGCAGGCCTGGAGGTGCACCAGTTCTATCCATTGGTGAAGGTGCAGTGCTCTCCCGAGCTGCGCTTCTTTCTATGCTCTATGTACGCACCCGTGTGCACAGTACTGGAGCAGGCCATTCCGCCGTGCCGTTCTATCTGCGAGCGCGCGCGTCAGGGCTGCGAGGCGCTCATGAACAAGTTCGGTTTCCAGTGGCCCGAGCGTCTGCGCTGCGAGCACTTCCCGCGCCATGGCGCGGAGCAGATCTGCGTGGGCCAAAACCATTCCGAAGACGGAGCGCCAGCGTTGCTCACCACCGCGCCGCCGCCGGGTCTGCAGCCTGGCGCTGGTGGCACCCCGGGAGGCCCCGGCGGAGGCGGCGCGCCCCCGCGCTACGCCACGCTGGAGCACCCTTTCCACTGCCCGCGTGTGCTCAAGGTGCCGTCTTATCTCAGCTACAAGTTTCTGGGTGAGCGCGATTGTGCTGCTCCCTGCGAACCCGCGCGGCCCGACGGCTCCATGTTCTTCTCGCAAGAGGAGACGCGTTTCGCACGCCTCTGGATCCTCACTTGGTCGGTGCTGTGTTGTGCCTCCACCTTCTTCACTGTCACCACTTACCTGGTGGACATGCAGCGCTTCCGATATCCAGAGCGCCCTATCATTTTTCTGTCGGGCTGCTACACTATGGTGTCGGTGGCCTATATCGCAGGCTTCGTCCTCCAGGAGCGTGTGGTATGCAACGAGCGCTTCTCTGAAGACGGTTACCGCACGGTGGTGCAGGGCACTAAGAAGGAGGGCTGCACCATCCTCTTCATGATGCTTTATTTCTTCAGTATGGCCAGCTCCATCTGGTGGGTCATCCTGTCGCTTACCTGGTTCCTGGCAGCGGGCATGAAGTGGGGCCACGAGGCCATAGAAGCCAACTCGCAGTACTTCCACCTGGCGGCCTGGGCCGTGCCGGCCGTCAAGACCATCACCATCTTGGCTATGGGCCAGATCGACGGCGACCTGCTGAGCGGCGTGTGTTTCGTGGGCCTCAATAGCTTGGACCCGCTGCGGGGCTTCGTGCTGGCACCGCTCTTCGTGTACCTGTTCATTGGCACATCCTTCCTCCTGGCCGGCTTCGTGTCGCTCTTCCGCATCCGCACCATCATGAAGCACGATGGCACCAAGACGGAGAAGCTGGAGCGGCTCATGGTGCGCATCGGCGTCTTCTCTGTGCTCTACACGGTGCCAGCCACCATCGTCATAGCCTGCTACTTCTACGAGCAGGCCTTCCGCGAGCACTGGGAGCGCTCGTGGGTGAGCCAGCACTGCAAGAGCTTGGCCATCCCGTGCCCGGCGCACTACACGCCGCGCATGTCACCCGACTTCACGGTCTACATGATTAAATACCTCATGACGCTCATCGTGGGCATCACGTCGGGCTTCTGGATCTGGTCTGGCAAGACTCTACATTCGTGGAGGAAGTTCTACACGCGTCTCACCAACAGCCGACATGGCGAAACCACCGTGTGAGCGAGGGCGCGCGGCTACCCTGCACCTCCGGGATGGGATGGCACTGTGCTTTCCTTCTGCAGCGAGGCGGGGGGAGGGCTCCCTACGGACTCCTATTTTATTTTTTTTTAAATAAAGAACAATCGAAACCATTTCTTTTCTAGGTCGCTTTTTAAAGAGAACTCTGCCCAACACCCCCACCAGGTTTGTAATTAAAACTGTAAATAGTCTTTGTAAATTAATTATATATTTTCTATTTAAAAGAAAAAAAAGGAGAAGAAAAAAAAAAAAAGAATGGAGCCGGCGCCAAGGCTGAAGATTGGGGTGGGAACCTGGGGGAGGTCTCTCCTTTCTTAAGTGCCCTTTTAAAGCCGCCCGGTATGTACTCTGGTTCAAAATTTTTGGTGATTTGGCAGGGCTGGGCCTGCTGGGAGAGGCACCTAGCCTGAGCGCTGTTTTTGTTGGCTGTGAGAAGTTGGGAGTTAGTTCCATTCAACTTCTATAAAAGCCAAATTTGCGAGCCTCCTCGCTGACGCTGGGCCTGTGGAAGCTGTTGGATTATTTTTGAAAAGATTTGGATTCGTCTTTATTTCGTTTTATTTTTCCTTCTTTTCTTTCCCTCTTCATTTGTCCTGACTCCTTCACTAGATATTTGGAAACTTCCCAGCCGAGATGAAGACGTGGAAAAAAAAAAAAAACAAAAAAAACCGAGGATGGTGTGGGGGAGAGGGCGGGGATCTGGGGAGGTATGGCCTCCACCGCCCTGGCCCACTCCCCTGCAGGCAGGAAGATCTTTCTGTCTTTGACTTTTCTTCGTTTCCACTCGCTACCCTAAGCGTCCAAAATAGGCAGAATATGCTTTGTGGACTGTTTTAACCGTCCCCCCACTACACACACACACACACACACACATACACAAACCACTTCGAGTTCTGATCCTCTGCCTGAATTTTTAGAGGTACCATGAGCCTTTGAACATTTATTTGCAAATTCTGGGGTTTTGAGATTTTGCAGCCTTCCCCTTATTTCCTGGTGGTCTGCTGGCCCCCAACCAAAAAACTGGTATTCAGGTTAGCAGACTGCAGGTTGGTTTATGTATGTGGTTTTTTTGTTTGTTTTGTTTTGTTGTTGGGAGCTATTTTTCTCTTTTTTATTTCCACAAAGCAATAAAAATGGGTTGGGTTGGGGGGAGGGAACGGGTGGACTGATGGGATGGGATTCCTAGTTTTCTTTTTGACAAAAGACTGGTTTCTTTTAAAACTTGTCCAAAAAAAAAGAAAAAAAAAGGGGGTATCTTTGCTTTAGAAGGCTGTGGGCAGGCTCTTTGTGGCTGTGGGGGTGGGGTTGAGTGTTTACTGGACATTCTATATCACAAGATTGATAGAATGTTTATAACAGATGTTTCTTATCTTCCTCCTACCCCCTCCCAAATAAAAGTCAAGACTTTTCTTAAGTTAGCTGCCTGAGAAGTGATGTATAAAATATCTTTGACTGCTGGTATGAGAATTCCAGTTTCCAACACACATCAATTTCCTCAACTATTTGGAATATTTTAGAATTTTAATTCCAAAGGATTGATTTGAAGACAATTATGCCACGTAACTCATTTTTTTGCCATCTCATGTGTCTTGATAATAGTGCAAATTAAAAGCTAATAATCATAATAATAAAGTGCATTTAATTATCTTCAAGAGATCTAGCCCTTTAATTGTATTTAACAGGGTTGTAACATTTTATTAGTTTAACCAAACCACACCTCCCTCCTCCTTCCCTGTCTCCCTCACCTAGTTAATTGGGGGTGGGGCAGAGAAGTGGGCTTTGAGCCCAAGATCTAGGTTTTGTTTTTTTTAGCTAAATGGTTATGGGAAGAAAGGTACCTTATCATCTTTTGTTGGCTGACTTTGGGACAAGGGAGAAAGTATTTGGAACCCCTGCTTCAAAATGTTTGTATATGTTAGTTTATGTTGGGGGAGGGAAACTGGAAATGTTTGGTGGTAATTGAAGTCATGTGGGGCTTTGTTTGGAATTGTATGAAGTCTAGGGATTTCAATAGATCCCCCCAAAAAAATACATAGTCTCCCTCGCCAAAATCATTTGTGCCAGTGGCTAGTTCAAATTCAGTTTTTATCAATTGCTAATGAGTGTGAAGGCTAAACATGAGGTTCCCTTAATGATGGTGGGCAGGGGGAGGTGTCACCACTCCTGTGCTCCATTTGTTCCAAGTCTAAAGGAACCCCCCCTCCCAAAGGCTGAAGGAAAGCGTTTAATTACAAACAAATTGTTGAGTGTCTTTCCTGGTAATAATGGTAAGAGCTTGGGGAATTGGATAGGATTTTGCTGTGCTGGGGACTGAGCCCAATGGGAAGAGAAGCCCTGATAATTTCCTAACCTCTGGTCTCTGTTGAAGACTTTGGGAGAGCTTCCCCCACCCCTAAATCCCCCAGGGTCTTAGCTCTGTTTGCTTTGGGTACGTTTGTCCTGGATCTTCACACTGATGGCAGGAAGAGATGGTGGACTAGTAACAATCACCCTTTCCTTTCCAGAGCAGGGGGTGGTGGGAAGGAAAGAACTGGGGTAGAGATGGTTCTTCTTTCTTGCCTCTGCCCCCACATCCTACCTCAAGGTCTCCTGCCAATGTAGAACAGGGTCTAAGAAAACTGACAAAATAGGTTTTATGACTGGAGAAGAAGATGAATTATAAGATAATTGCCTCTTTTGGAAAGAACAGATCTTGAAGATGCCTTTTTCTTCTCTAAGGGGGAAGTCATGGCCTGAATTAGCTTATAGAAAGCAGTGGGGGAACCCTCCCATCACCTCACACCAGTTTCTTTGATAAGATAATTTGGAGGAAGGGTAGCTTTAGACCACAGTGTGGGAAATTTAGGCTGGGGAGAGGAGAAAGGGTCTTGGAGGGAAAACCAAAGGTAAACCTTCTGAACTCAATGCTGCACCAGGAGAGTGGGGTCTCTACCCCATTGTTTGGAAAACACAGTTAAAACCCAGGGCCTAGAGGTCCGCTTTTGTAGATTTTCTATAGGTCTCAGGATAGATAGGAACTGGTTTCCACATCCTAAGTGGATTGATTCCTCCTTCTGGGAGAGTGAGGTTTTGTGTTAGGTGGAGAGTGAGGGCTAAGGAGGGACTCCCCCCACTTGAGGCCCTGGGCAGGTGCTTTTTACCTGTTCTTCCACACTCACCCCCATCCCACAAGCCAGCTATCTAGTTCAGATAGTTATTCAGACTCCCCCTTATTGATCTGACTTTTGCTTTTCCTACCCCAAACCCCAGCCTTCCCTCCTGAAAAGTTTTCTATTGTTAAAAATTCTTTGTCCTTTTAGAGGATCCTTTAAGATCCAGTTCAGAATGAGCCCCCAAAATTTTCCAAGACAAAATTCTTCTGTATATCCCCCCCAAAATGAATTCTGGTGTTGCCTCAGTGGGACCTGGAGATGCCAACTTTTAGATTATTCTAGAAGCTGCCAACTTCTAGATGATGATGATGATGATGATGATGATGATTAAGGGCATTGGAATCCTGATTTGGGCTGGATTCTGGAAGAGTTGTCCTGGGTGCTGTGGTGCACACATTTGGGAAGCCCAGCCTGAGCTCCTGCCACTTCAGAGATGAGTTTTCCCTTCTGTAGTCTCTGCCCACTGGAGCAGCATCCTTCCTCTAGATCACCTTTCTCATCTCTAAATTTAAACTTTGGGGGCCCCTGACTTTCTGGAATCTGAAATAGCTTTGGAACTCTAACTGCAATTAAAGGAGGAGGGGCTGGGATTGTGGCTCAGCGGTAGAGCACTCCCCTAGCACATGCTAGGCCCTGGGTTCGATCCTCAGCACCATATAAAAATAAATAAATAAATGAAATAAAGGGTTTGTGTCCAACTACAACTAAAATATAATAAGTATATTTTTTTAATTTTTAAAAAGGCCAGATTCACATGAACACATTATTTTGCATAAAAGTTTAGGAAGCTTCTGTACCACTTGGCTGTACCTTCTCCCCACCTACTCTGACCCCCAAGCTAGTCCCACAGTTTCTAATTACCTCTGTGACAAAAAGGGGATCAGAGAGGAAACTATTGTGACTAAAAAAAAAACAAAGATCATCCCTAAGCCAGATTATTCACTCAATGGAATCATATTCCTCACTCAGGTAACAAATTATCAAGATGCAACAGGATGGAATGAATGTGCAATGCATTTGTGCCTGAGGGGGAGAAAAAAGAGGAATACAGAGCCAGATAAACCAACCATATTTGGAGAGAGCCTGGGCATGAGGCAGGACCTGCAGGAAGCACTTGTGCAAATTTCCTAATCTCTGAGTCCCAAGACCTCATTGGTACCTGCCAGGCAAGATTGTGGTGAGGAGGCTGGGGTTGTGGCTCAGTGGTAGAGCACTTGCCTACCATGTGTGAGGCACTGGGTTTGGATCCTCAGCACCACATATACATAAATAAATAAAATAAAGATCTATCAATAACTAATAAAAATATTTTTTTAAAAAAAAGATTGTGGTGAGGATTAAGTTGGGCCCTGCACAGACAGAACCAGTGCATAGAAGTTCAATAAATTGTAGCAACCATATCCAGTGACCCACGAGGCTGAGGCAGGAGGATCACAAGTCTGAGGCCAACCCAAGCAACTTAACAGTACCCTGTCTCAAAATTTGGGGGATGTAGCTCAGAGATAAATTTTTCCCGAGTTCAATCCCCAGTACTACTACTACTATTACTACTGCTACTACTACTACTACTACTACTACTACTACTAATAATAATAATAATAATAGGAAAAGAAAGAAAAAGAAAATGGGGGCTGGGGATGTGGCTTAGTGGTAGATACCTCTGGGTTCAACCCCCGGTACCACAAAACAAATAAGTAAATAAATTCTAGCAGTTTTCCAACTACTTAGGATAAATTCCTGAAAAGCAGAATCACTGGATCAAAGGATACTTTTTTTTTTTTTTTTGAGGGCTTTGTAACCTATTGTAACCAGCAGTTTTAACAGAGTAGAATGTTTCCTGTGTTCCCAAGTTTTTTCCCTGACTCTGGATGCCAGCCCAGGGTCTCAAATCTCCTCAGGGTGGTGGTAGGCAGCATTTGTCTCCCTCTTTTTCCTCTGATTAGGACAGAAATGTCTTACTCGCCTGAGTGACCAGACGCACACGCTGGTGGGCCTCACCAACAGGCTTTGAAGCTGGCTAATTAGGGCTAGGACTGTCACAGCTGGCTTCCCCTGCACCTCCCCCTGCCCCTCCTGCCCATCCCTAGCCCCACAGCCGGAGAGGCCTCCCCAGCTGCCTTGCCTTCCCCTGCAGTCTTGTGGCTCCTCTAAGCCATCTGGGATGGCCCCAGAATTTGAGTCCCTAAAGGACTGAGGCAAAGCAACAAAATGAACAAGAAGTGACTTGGGACAGGGAATAAGCTCGGGGACTGTTGGGTTTGCCAGGGGCCCAGGAAGCCCTCGCCTCATTGCCAGTGAGGGCTGGAGAGGAGAGGGCCCAGGCTGGGGGCTGAGTCCTGGGCCCTTTGTTTGGACGCCAAAGCTTTCTCAAGGCTCCAGCCTCCCAACCTGGCCCTTATAATTAGCCCCAATCAGAGTGTTTATGTAGGGGCCTAGTGCGGAACTCAGAGCCCCGTGATTTCATTCCAAACCTACAGGGAGGAAAGGGAGGGAAAGGGACTTGTATGGGGGCAAGCAAAAGGGAGGATAGAAAAGATATGAAGGAGACCTAGACGAGGGAGAGAGGAGAAGATCTGAGAGGGGAAGACAATCACGTTCCCTTCCACCATGGCAGGGGTCAGTACCACCCGACCCCCAAAGTAGCTGACACCCCAGCTTCTGACCCTGGGCCAGGTCTTCCTGCCTTCTGGGCAGGCTCTGTGGGTGGGTGGGCTTATGCCAATCGGAAATGGCTTGTATATAATTAACCAACTAATCACCACTTCAGCCCTGTGGAAGGGGAGGGTACAGACCAAAGCCATGGCTCCCCCAGCAAATTCCTGTCTCCCCATTTACCTTCCTCTCCCTGGGGCTTGAGTGAGCCAGATTCTGCAGCTGCCTAGGTTAGTAGAATCAAGGGTGGCAGGAAAGGATTCAGGAAGGGAGGTGGGTATTCTTATCTCAGGCCTCCTGGGGAAATGTGACAGAAGAGAGTGGACAGGCTGTGGCTGGTGGGGACAGTGGGAACTTGGGTGGGAAGGCTGGAGTGAGGATTCCCAGTCATTGTTCCCATGTGGCACTGGGTGTGTCCCAAATTCAATTAGCATTTCTCTCTGGTCTAGTCCTCCCTAGGAACTCTCTGGGGTAGATGTGGCTTATAGAGAATTCTGTGTACAGGGTTTAGTGTCCTGTGCCAAGGGGGTTGAGGGCACAGTATGGAGTCTGAGCTCATAAAACCCTTGCTTCAAATTCTGCCAGGCCAGACCAGGCTGGAGGATTCAGCTCTTACCTAGCAGGCAGGAGGCCCTGGGTTCAATCTCTAGCATAGAAAGAATGAAAGAAGCCAGGCCTGGTGGCGCAAACCTGTAAGCCACTGGGAAGTGGCTCAGGAGGCTGAGACAGGAGAATCACAAGTTCAAAGCCAGCCTCAGCAATGGTGAGGCACTAAGCCACTCAGTGAGACCCTGTCTTTAAATAAAATACAAAAACAAGGCCGGGGATGTGGCTCAGTGGTCATGTGC